TATTTCAATAACTCAATGGATTTTTAAATGAGTTATTTGCAAAGTGCTCATAATACTCCCCCAGTACATATAAAATACTATTATTATTGGCTGTTGTTACTTTACATATATACATATGCAAAGAAAAAATGGAAAGAATATATCAAAACATTATCAGAGATCTTGAATTCTAACAACACTAATTCTGAGAGAATCAGGAAATCCGAACACTAATTGCATATTAAAAGACATTTAAAATTATTTTATAAGGTGTGGTGGTATTTTTTAAAAAGTCCTTATATCATAATGAAGTCCTTATGAATAAAATATCATAATTAAGATTTGTGTTAAAATGCTTCGGTGGGAGGCTTATGTGGGGAGATTCTTTTCAAACATTTTTAATGTTATCAAGAGGGAAATTTCCTGTGGGTAATGGAATTATTACTAGCTTTTATTTTCTTTATATTTTGCTATCTTCCAAATTTTCTATAGTGATTTGAAATTATTTTTGAAATGAGAAAAAAAGTTTTCAAACAACTTTAAGAAAATCCTTACCAATACTCCATCCACAGATGAAACTTTCTCCCAAGTTAACCAAGCTCTTTCTCTGACATGATCTGGTAACTTTAATTTCTGACATAATGCAGTAAAATCTGGTTCTTCAGTTTCTTCAAACTCAAGCCTACCAAATGAAAATAATCATATAATAGGCACACACTTATAAGTCAAACTTATTAAGTAAACATTTGTTTCAATAGTTTGCACATAATAGCACTATTCTGAAAGAGATTATTAATTACTAAGTACTTCAAGATCTTATCTAGGAAAAAAATACACTTAGAATTTAAATATATGTTTATCTTTTCCAAGGTATTTCCAAAATAAAGATACCACACAGTGAGAAATATTTGCTGGCATAGTGAGTCAAATACACTTCAGAGCAGCAAAACAGCTCTGTGAAGTACAATAGTTAAAGTTGTTTGGGAAAATGTGATAATAATAATAATAAAAGCCCATAAATAATACTGCACAATCAATTCAATGCCAGTGACTTTGCTAAACTGTGGTCTACTCTTATCAGTGTTGCATATAATCTCTCTACCTACTAGCATTTCTTACATGATGATTACCTTGATATAAATTATTGCATTGCTTATTTTAGCCCTTTCTCCTTAACCAAGATAGGCATTCAATAAATTCTTGTACACTAATTCCTTTTTATTCATCTAATGTCTATTTGTCATCTAATAATAACAGTATAAGGAACAATTAATAATTTTTGAGTATTTACTATGACCCTGTACAGAGTACCTTAGATGTATGGTTTCACTGGATTCCCATATCACCCCTATTAGGTAAATATTCTCATCTGTAAAAGCAGACATTTACAAATGCCTACCAAATCAGTAGGTTAAAGCACTCACCTGAGGTCACAGCCAGTAAGAGGTGAACCATGATGTGAACCAAATCCACACCCTTGACCACTATTCTAGACTGCCAATTCCTCCTTCAAAACATGATTAACTTTTTTTTTTTTTTTTTTTTGATACAGGGTCTCTCTATGTTGCCCAGGCTGGTCTTGAACTCCTGGGCTCAAGTGATCCTCCCACCTCAGCTCCCTGAGTAGCTGTGACTAGTGTCACCATGGATCAAAACTTGATTAACTTTTGATTATTTCAACAACGAAGGTAGTATGCTATTCCTAGTAACAGTTTCCCTTCCAGTTTCATATAGGCCAGAGACAATGCAACAGAAATAAGATCTCAACTCTCAAGGCAGAAATGGACTCTGTCACTGGAAGTGCAGTTGGACTGGGCCCTGATTCCATCCCCAAGCAAGTGTCTCAGCCTCAGACTGCCAGGCACTGGTTCTACGGTTGCTAAGTAGTTAATTTATAGAGTTGGATTATCCATGTTAATGAAATGCCTTGCGGGTATGGATAATCAAGAACAGACTGTATCTTGTAAGGTTTTGACTTAACAGAATTTTTGATAGTTCCAATATTCAAAAATATATAAAACGATGTGTTAAAAAGTCCTATTTTCCCAGACAATGGCTTCAGTATTCCTGGTTACCCTACAATAATCAAGAATGTTTTCAAAGCTGTGTGTATAACATTGAATTCTTTAGAGTACTGCTCTTTCCAAAGGGTAACTTTCAAGTATTGGATACATCAGAATTCAATCAGAAACTGAAGTGGTGTCTTCTTCCAGAACATCCCCAGATGTAGTTTTTTTTTTTTTTTTTACAATTATGATTTTTAATTGACGTATAAGATAGTCCATTTAAATATATGAATTTTTAACAGCCTTCCACAGGCCATTTCCAAAATCCTATTGCAATCTTTCACAATTTTTCCTGAATTGTTAGTGTCTGGTGAGTGGAAAGAAATGGGTGAGGGTAAAATGGGCTTGGTGAAGTAA